AATGCTACAAATGCTCTTCTATTATTTTTAAAAACTGAAAATAATGATTTAATATGTAAATTTAAAGTAAGACAATCACTTCTATTGCTATTTGTTTTACTAAACAAATAACACAATTCCTTAAAATATGGCTTTCTGTTCTCATCACTACAATTGATAAAACAGGAAAACATAGCTGGAAAAGGAAACTAATTCAGAACAGATGTCTGGGGGAATTTTTCCAGGAGTGAACTATAAACATGCAGAATAAGTACTGGAAAATGTATTATGGTAAAAAATCAGAATCAGTTACTAATTACACGATCTAAGCAGGAAACCAGATACCTAAATATGTAGAACATGCTTTTTTTTTAAAAAAAAAAAAAAAGCCTAAATTAATGGGCAAACTGTTTTCACTATTCAGACCTCACAGCAAAGTGTGAAAATTCAGTTATTTTCTAATGCCTACAAAGTTAGCTCTTATCTGTAAAGATGTATCCAATTGTAAACCGAACAAATTTGCAAAAACAATTTAATTGTTTTCTTCCTGCTTTTATTTAACATTTTCTCAATTTAATACTCGGTACTTTCCTTTTGCCCTGCCTTCTTAATATTTCACTTTCTCTATCTACTCACACTCTACCAGGAGATGTAAAGACTTGCAATCCCACCATCACTAGTCCTTGTCCAGGAAAAGCAAAAAGGACAGTTCCGCCTCTGTTGCTAGGCTTAAAAAGAAATGGCTTATGCCTAGCAGGCAGTGAGGATCAGAAAGGAACTGAAGAGGAGCAAACAACAGAATCTATTCCAATGAAAGTTTATTAATTTGTATGAAGTCAATTTGTGACTCATCCATATTCAAATTAAAGTACAAAAACAAATTCCAAAGCTAAATTTAAAACAACTTTTGGACTATCCAGGTTTCTGCTTGTTTTCACTTTATGAACAGAAGCCTATGATGCTAACAGTACATTAACTTTCCCAGGCCACCAAGATCCTACTCAATGGCGACAGTTCATTATCATGTAGGCTAAGGTTAATATAATGGTAGCAGTAATATTATATTACTAGTATACACATGTGTGTTATATACAAAAGAGTTAATGAGCTTCCTGACTACAGTAATCAAGTAGTGACAAGAGACCAGACCAGAGCTGAGTCATGCTTCACAATATTTAACTGACGTATAAGCATTCAACTTTAGAATCTGAAAGATCATATAGTGAGCCCAACACTATCATTTTACAGATGATGATACTGAGGAGCCCAAAAGATTAATTAACTTACCCAAGATTGGGCAGCTTCATGGCAGCAAACCCAAATCCAGGCCTCTGAAAAGCAATCTAGCACGTTCATGTAATACAGCATCCCACTCTTGGAGAATATGCTGTAGAAACTGAACTGGTAAATGTGAGGCAATCTCCCCCCCACCCCACTCCGCCCGCCCAGCAGAGTTGGGTGACAGTAAAGGGTTATGTAGTTAAATGTGGAAAGAGATATTTACTTCATTAATTCTTACTAAAATGCAGCTCTTCATAGGCATAAACAATATCCTGAATTCATTTACCACATGAGTAATAACTTTTCTTCCCTAAATCACTGTGATCTAGAGTTTACCAGTGACTAGGCAAAACATGACTAAGAATTAACTATCTCTGTAACCAGACTGCCAGCCTGTCCTGTTATTTATTAATGAATGGAGAAATACTATTTAATGAGATTTAAAAATCTTGTTAGCACTTATACTATTAAGTAATCTTTTCACCTCAGGTTTTTACCATTTTCTGTAACACAGAAAGCCTGATCTATTATATTACTTTTTCCTTGCTAAAGTTAATTGTAATATTCTGAATCACATGGGCCTCACTCTAATCTTCTAATAAATCTTAATTTCAAAAATCTCTTTGCCCAGTTTACTTCTGCATATATACAATGTCACACAAATATATTTAAATATACTTTGGAAAAGGTAAGAAATTCAAGAATTTTTAAATGGTTATACATAGATGTCATGGTTCTCAGTTTTTCAAAATCTTCAGAAATTTTTTTCAAGATGTTAATACTTACTAGCCTGCAGTAAGTACATTACTGAGAAGCAGCAGCATAAGAGAAAATACAAATCGAGGCAGAAAGAGGATAGAAGAGGAGTCAAACTAAAAGTCTATCAGGAAAAAAAGAAATCAGCAAATCTTCCTACACTGATGTGACAGTTACAAGCCATAGTACAATTTTCTTGTATCACCATGCGGCTGTCTGGGCTTGTGGCAAGCACCTTGAAAAGGTGTGTTCAATCAGCAGTATAAAAGTTGAGGTAAAGAAAATAACTAATGTATGATCGCATATACATCCATTCATGCCAAGAAAGTCCTACTCCATATAATTTGTTACTTATATTATTGCTGCTTCCTATTCAAATTTTGATGGAATATTTTATGGGTATTTACTGTGTTGAACATTCTAAAATGCCACAGAAATTTCAAAGATGTGGGAGGCCTGCTTCTGAAGCTTATAGTTTGAGAAGGAAATAAGCTAGAGACACACAAGAGCACAAAAAGAAGACAGTAAGAATTTTATGAAAGACTGAAGCACAATCTGTGCTCATTTCTTGAGCTAGTTTTCGAGGAAGGGTAAGATTCCAACAAGCAGAGACCGGGAAAAGAATGCCATAAAAAGGAAAACTATGAACAAATGTGGGAGGGTGAAAGGATGTTGGAAGAACAGTAAGGATACCAGTTTGACTAGGATAGGGAAATTCTGTGGAAATAAATAGGCCAGGATGTGGCGGCTTTGGGGTTTTATTTTAGAGATAACATCCAGTTGCTAAAGGCTTTTGAGTCCCAGAGTGCTATAACAAAATCTCACTATCTTAGGAAGATTTGGGAGGATTGTAAAGGAGAAATGATATGCAGGTGGGTCAGGTAGAAAATTACTACAGTAGTAGTAATCCAGAGACCAGTACACTTAAGTATCAATTCTGATGAAGTTACTAAATATATTTTAAATATAGTACAGAACTTTTAGTTTCTAGAGAAACTTGGACTTATTTATACACCATTTACTTTTCCTTCCTACTGACACCATAAGTAACAACTGACTAGGAATTTTTATTTTACTTTTCCTCACCCAATCTTTGCATTAATAAGATTATCATCTTAACATATTAGCAAAATCTACAAGATTATATGTCACTGCTTAATCAGAAGAGCATTTAAAGCAATTTTTAAATCCCACTTTGTGAAAGCAATAGCTTTATATCACACATAAATAAATTTCCCCAAATTTTCATATTTTACTTTCCAAGAGAAAGCACTTGCTTGCTTGCTTGCAGACTACACCTACAAAACCAATCAAAACAAAAGGTAATTATCCAGTAAATCTGTAATCGCTACTTTACAGAAAGAATTGTTTAACAGATTGGCTGCCATACGTTTCACGAAAGCAGAAACTAACTGCTTTCTTCGCTTTGTGTGTGTAAACTAGGCCACACATGAATGTCCCTCTTCTAGATAAAGGTCCAAACCAAGTTTTTGACATTTTCACAGATAAGGTATCCTTATTCTACTCTAATTCAATTTTTTTAATTTAATTATAAATTATTCAGTTTCACTTAATATTAAGTCATCCAAAAGGTAGTTTCAGTTACTGAGATAGTCGTATTACATATACAGAATATTATGCCTAAAGCAAACTTCAAAAGGTACAAGATAACTAATTTGAAAGAGAATGATTCATTTCCATTAAAAAATGCATATATTTAGGGATCCAGGATTTCGCAGAGGGCGGTGTCCCAGTCTGTAAGAGAGCCTTGCCTGTGCTTCCTCGACTTTCCCTTTCTTTGCAAAAATGTTGTCACTTATCAGTGAGCACTGGACGCTTTCCAACAGTCAGTCCAGTTTCCTACCAGAGAAGCACTAACCCCACTGATTGGCTCAGTGCAATCAGACAACAGCCCTCAGTCTAACAGCAGTAAAGGAACAAAGATTGGTGACCTGATACTCAGGAAGGAAAGGCTGTAAGAGAGGCAGTGAGGGGGAAGCACAGAATTAACCAACATCGAAGTCCAGAAAGACACACCCACTCAGACAGCAAAGCTTTTTACCTGGAGATATTCAGCCAGGATTTTTTTTTTTTTTTAAGGTAAGTAAGGATACAGATCTCTTTATAAACTGAGGGAGCCCAATTCATATGCACAAACTTGGCTAGCAGCTGTGTAACTATCTTGAGTGGGCAAGAACCTTTCACACCCTAACATCTAGAAAAGTGATTTATTCAATAAATTCACTGAAAGACGTCCTCTTTCCTAAAAACTGTCCCTAACTGTAGGGTTCTTGCTTTATGCGATTCCAGTACTGCATGAGATTTCAAACTGAAGGGGGAATGGGTGGGGTGCAGAACACATTAAATTTTTACAGCATGGAAATAAAAGTATTTTTAAACCTCCTTGGGGGTGAAGAGTTAGGCAAGAAGTAATACGTGGAAACTGTCAAGTGCTTCTCTACACCCACCCACCAGATACCACCGCAGCCGGCTGGGGGAGTCTCCCTCTTCTTGCCTGACAGCTTCACTTTCTTTGAGGTCTGGAGCTGGTGATCACACTGGCCCGTCATGGTATTTTCAGTTAACAAAGCAGTTACTCAACAGGGGAAAAAGCCACAAAGCAGCAGAGCAGCTGCTGCTGCACCCGTGATGCAAGTGCAGGATGAGCCCCGGGCCGCCACCGCCGCCTCGGCTCCTCCGTGACGTCCGGGAGGGGTATCCCCGGCTCTCAGGAAGTGGTGGCCGCGGGCGGCTCCGCCCCCACGCGACTCGGGGCCGGCGGGGCGGGCGGGCGGGTGGCGGGCCGGCGGGGACAGCCGGGACAGCCGGCGGGCGGGGATCACCGTCGGGCCCCGCCGCGCGCCCCGCAGGTCGCGCGCCCCGCTCCCTCGGCCGCGCGCCCCCTCAGGCCTCACCCCGCGCCCGACCCTCCGCTCGCGTCACAGCTCGCGCCCCGCTCTCTCCCAGGACTCACACCCACTCACCCCGACCCCCGCCGCCGAGCCCGGCCCAGCGTCGCCGGTCACCAGTCGGGGTCGAGCCGAGTCCAAGATGGCGACTCTGCCCCCGCCCCCTCCGCTCTCCCGGCGGGGTCAGGGCGCCCCCTGACGCGGCGCGCTCGCTCCCGAGGTCCGGCTAAAAATAGCCAGGTCCGACTATATTTGGTTCGGCCGGATCCCGGCGCGGCCGCGCGCGCCCCGCCCCGCCCCGCGCGCCCCGCCCCGCCCCGCGCGCCCCGCCCCGCCCCGCGCGCCCCGCCCCGCCCGCGCGCCCCGCCCCGCCCGCGCGCCCCGCTCCGCCCCGCGCGCCCCGCCCGCCCCGCCCCGCCCCGCGCGCCCCGCCCCGCCCCGCCCCGCCCCGCCCCGCCCCGCGCCGCGCCGCGCTGAATGGAGAAGGGGCGGGGGTGACCGAGGGGAACCTACTCTGCTATCTGCCGCGCGCGCCGGCGGCAGGGCCCGGCCAAGCGCCGAATTTAGTAACTTCGCCTGCGTCAATCACGCGCCTCGCGTGCGTCAGCGCCGCGCCGCTCCAGGTCCCGGTCCCCCACCCCCCCAGACTTTGAATGGATACAATGTAGCAGCGCCCTCCTTGCTTCCGAGACTGGCTTGGAACCCGCTGCAGCGCAGCAGCTCGCTGCTCTCCGCTGGGTCAACTTTGGGAGCATCCTCCCACGCGCTTCTCCACACCCCCCTTTCTGAAGTGCAAGTGGAGGCGAGGAAATATATCCGTGATATACGTGCGCGTGTATACCACACACACATATATATTTACAGTTTTGTTTTCTAGTCTCTGATGCTAGCTCGAACATTCTTGAATTCTCAAACGTTGTGCTGTTGACTTGGGATCCTTCTCTCCACGCTGCTCCACACACACACACACACACACCCACACGCACACGCACACACGCAAGTTGTGACAGGTGAAAAAATAAAATGTAACCCCTGATTCAAGCGGACTACACGGGGACCTTGTCTATCTGCCCGGTCTCAAATACTTTTCCTCAAAAACTAATTTCTAAAAGAGGTTGCTTTCACTCAGCTCCAACCTTTGGAACTAGGAACCTTTGATGAATGTGTTGTCTTCTGCAAAATTCACACATAAATCCATTTCCAGGAAGAAAGTGTTCTCCCTTTCGCACAGACGCCCAGGTTTTCTGCACACCATTTCATGAGAAAACTGGTCCCAGGAAACCGGATCAAATTCCCAAGCGAGGGCTGACTAATAAAATCCTGCTGATTGATTTCGAAATATTTAATTTGGGAGGTGGGAGGGGAGGCTCGTCTACAACTTTCAAAAAGTGAAAGTGTGAGTTGAGAGTTCCATTTCTGACGGGAGGGGGAGTGGGGTTTGCAACAGTCGGACCCGCTCAGCTGTTCAACACGTGTGTTTGTTTTACACACATTGGTTTCTGCTGCAGCGCCCGCGTGGATGACTGATGTGCGCTGAGGTTACACGTGTCCGGTTAGGAAACTCACACCTTGAGTATTAAGAAATAAAACCTTGTCTTCCCGGAGCCATCTGCATCCCTGTGCGAAACACGCACCCAGCAAATGACGGGAGGAAGAAAGCAATTAGCTTAGACTCAGAGGGCCAGAGAGACGTAAACAGCTTTAGAACTGCTGCTTGAGGAAAGCGCAGCTGCACCTCAGGGAGTCTTCAGGCTGGCGCCTGACTCCTGCACCAACTGCCAGGTCACTCGGAGAAGCTGGCTGGCGGAGCGCAGCCTTTCGGAAGAGCTGTCCTCTCCCTTACCCCCTCGTCCTGGCTCCCTGCCTCGGGGCAGCCTCGGAGGCGCGCCAGCAGCGCTCCTCCAACTCTGCTCCACCCGAGCCTGACAGCTGGGCGGTCCCGCCTGACCCGCGGGCGGGCAGCTGCAACCTCACGCGGACGAGCGCTGGGGAGAGCCCCGCTGCTGCAAAGCAGTTGGCAGCGCGGGTCCGAAAGGCCCTGGGGCCCGGGCTGGCCACGCCGAACAGTTTCCATTGTGCTGCCATACGGCTGGCCGGGGAGCGCGCGCGCGCGCGCACATCCACACACACGCACACCCTCCCTCGCACACGCGGAACCGGCTGGGCCAGGGGAGGGAGGAGGAGGGTGACGTAGCGTCCCATGGCGTCACATTGACGTCTCGCATTCCAAGCACTCTATGGAGAGGCCGCTAGGCTCCTGTGGCATAAATGACGTGCCGAGAGAGCAAGCGAACGCGCAGCCGGGAGAGCGGAGTCTCCTGCCTCCCGCCCCCCACCCCTCCAGCTCCTGCTCCTCCTCCGCTCCCCACACACAGACAAGCTCACACCCGCTCCCTCACTCGCACACACAGACACGCGCGCACACACGCTCCGCACACACACTCCACTCTCTCCCGCGCGCTCACACCCCTCTCGCCCTGCGCCCTCGGCGGTGCAGCGTCGAGCAGCAGCCGGACGCGCCTCCCGGGCTCACTTTGCAACGCTGACAGCGCCGGCGGTGGCCGTGGAGGTGGGAACAGCAGCGGTGTCTTCCCCCCTGGTCGCGGCCGGAGCCTGGACGCCCGCGGAACCCCTCGGCGGAGCTCTCCCATGAGTCGGGATCGCAGCATCCCCTGCCAGCCGCTCGCCGCCTCCGGGAGCCGCTGGCCTTGTACACCGCAGCCCTTCCGGGACAGCAGCTGTGACTCCCCCCAGTGCAGATTTCGGGGCAGCGCTCTTAGAAACTCTCTCTAAAGACGGAACCGCCACAGCTTTCAAGTACGTATGAGATTCACCCAGTTAATAGCGGGACTTGCTGAAAAGTTGGCGCGCCGGGAAGCTCAGCGCCTGAAATTAACAACTTTGGGTGTGGGGTTTTCCCCGCTCGCCTCCTCGCTCCGGCTCGCCGAGCTGCGGGTGGGTTGTGATTTGAAACTTTTCCCTAGTAGTGGACTGGTGGGGATCTCTGGAGTTCGTGGGTTTCCTCCTCCGCCCACTCCCCCAAGAGGCGAAGAGCCTCTAACAAAGAGGAGGACCGGGATTTGTGCGGTAGCTGCTCCAGCGATGTAATTCAGGGTATTTCGGCTCTAGTTGTCATGGTAATGATGCTCTCGGCGGCGGCGCGGCGGCAGGGAGTTGCAGCTCTGGTGATGAACAGCAGTAATTTCCCTGCCTTTTAACTAGGCTTGAAAATAGGGGCTCCGGTGGGCCTAAGTTAATATACCTACTGGTGACTCAGAGCTGGTTGACTGGGAGGAAGCTTGGGAGGGAAGGAGCCTGGACCGCAGCAGCAGGAGTTTGCAAAGGCGCTCCAAGGATCTCAGGAAAGAGGGCGTAATTGTAGGAATGTGGCTTATTGTATTGAAATGAGCCTGGGGCTCCTCTAGGCACGTCTGCCTGGCGTCGCCGACTGGCCGGTTTACACTTTTCCTTTTGGAGATCATCGGGTATAATCACCGACTCCCGCGCTCGAACACGCGTGGGGACTGTGTCCCTGTCCTCCAGGCCTTGGGGTGGTTTGGGAAGGACACGTTTTACACTGAGTTAACAGAACTCGCGCCTTTGGAGAAGTTGCTCCGGGTGTTTTACTCTTAATAGAAATGAAAGTTCACAGCGGTGAGAACGGAGTGCGGTCTTGCGAGCACAGCCTGCGGAGACTGTGACTTCTTCAGGCACTTCTAGAACCTGTTGGAAGCTTGGGGCAGTCCTGAGAGGGAAGGCATTAGTCCTGTGATTCCAAAGAACGTTCTTGAAAGATTGCCTTTTATTTATGACTCCGGATTCCCCAGCGAGAAGAGCTGCGAGGAGTTTAGTAATTAGAAAACTCGGGCTGGTTGTCCCAGAGCCTGAGGGTGCCAGGAGAAAGGGACAGGACGCCGGTCAGTCATTTCAGCGCAAATGCAGTCCTGCATGTTCTTTTCCCACGGCGGAGAAATAGTGTATGGAACCGAGTTGGGGAGAAAAGGCTTGGCAACGATGAATGAAGTTTGAGGTCATTCGAGTTATCTTAGCTGAAAAAGATGCTCCTAATGAGAATATCAGACTCCCTGAGCTATAGGGCAGCCACCACACCCGCTCTCCCCACCCCGGCCCCCGCCCACCCCCTTCCCTGGGACGGTGCGCTCGCAGAAATTCTCCCCCGTGGTTTGTCTCCTCTCCCTCGGTCTTTCTGAGAATCTCGCTCTGTCTTTCCCTTTCTGTCAGTCTTCCTCCACTCCTCCTGCCCCCGCCCAACCTCCGCCCCCGCTCCCCCGGGGTTGGAAACTCCGCGGAGGAGCCGGGTCACAATGGTGTGTTTCACGGTTTCCTCCACACACTTCACCACGGGGAGGGGAACACGGGGGTGTTCCTTTCGCCTGCCCACGAGAAAGAAAGGGGCTTTGACAGAGGTAGTTATTTCTTCCTAATTTACAACCCCAAGGCTCCGTGCTCCCAGCGCCGGCGGCCGCGAGCTGGAGCGGCAGAACGTGTTTCCAGGCGCGGAGGCTTTGCCTAGGTAACCGGCCGTTTAGGGGGGTGGGCGGAGAGCCGTGGGGCGCTCCGCTGGGCTATAGGGAAGGCCGGGTGGTTCTTTCACCTGAATGCGGGTCGCTGGAAGGGAGACCCTTCCTTGGGATGCGAACCTCGCCCACCTGAGTGAGAGGCGGATCCTTGGAGAAAGACCGCTTCAAATCCCCCGGGGAAGGGTGGGGATGGGGTCAGGTACTGGAGAAGGGGTGGGTGAGAAGTTGCTGGAGACCCCCACTGAAGATGCTGGGGGTGGGGGGGTGGCAGCGCTAGTTACAGCGATGGCAAGATTCGCCTCGCCGGTGCTGGAGCGAATACAGGCTTTCCATAGGATCAGCTGAGGCAGTAGCTGGGGGTGGGGGTGGCAAGGGATTCCCCAGTTTCCAGGCCGTCGAGCGCCTCCGGATCTGGTGGCTTCCAGCACCTCTCTCTCTCTGCAGTGAAGCCCCGAGGCACCCGGGCGGCGGGAAACAAAACTTAGACGACCCTCGCATCCCGCGTACTACCGAGGTGTCTGGGTTTCTGTTTTTCCAGGTTACAGGTTCCCTCTCCTCGAGCTCTGAGTGGGTCGGGGCTAAGGGGGCGCTATAG